CAGGAATAACCATTATATTTTTTCTGAAGCCTATTCATTGCATCTTGCACATCTCTATAGTGATCATCTGATTTGCATAAATTTGATAGTTTGTCTTCAAATGCTTTTGTTATCTCATCACCTGTGAAACCATATGCTCCAGATAATTCATCACTTAATATAATATCCTTAAGATTATTTAATCCTGAAAATAAACCTAAATGCGAATACATTTTTACACCTGTTACAAGAAGAAATTTAACTTTACTTTATAGTGCCTTTATTACTTCAAAGAAACTCTTTAGTATACTGTGGCTGTCATTTGCAATTTTTGTGTTCTCTTTCGTGATACCGATGACATTTAACAGTGGGGAGTCATATTCGTTTATGAGTATTACCACTTGTCTATACTCATTTTTATCATCACCAGCTAGTGACGTAATTAATTCAATAGTGGTATCCTTAACATCATAATTCGTGATGTCGGTGTCAATGTTAATGTCATATTCCTCTCCAGCTAATTGTAATACTCAAATTAAGCTCTTTTTAAACTTTTCAGATTCTTCATCTGATGTTAACAAAGAAAAGTCAAGCCTGATGACTGGGATTGAAGGCAAGTTCTTGCTCCATTTTTCCGCTTTATTATTGATAAAAATGTTTAGGTATGTACAGATTCTCAAAGAGATTATATTAAACCAAAAAGAAAGATTCAACTATTGAGAGAAACATTGATTTGCCAAATTTTCAAGGCTGTGATATGAAATATTGGCCACTATTTAACTCAAGCCGAGTTAACCATTCTGTTTTGTCTACATATAATTTACAATACTCGCGTACCCTTTTGAACTCTGATTCTAACACAGGGATCTTCTGATCTTTATTACTCGAATCTTGAATAACATTTGCATCCTTAGGATCTCTATACCAAAGGCGCCTTTTGTTTATTAGTGACTCTTTATAGGAGAATAAGGAAAAATAAAAAGAAAGAACGAGCTGATTAATAAAAGATTCACAAACTTTTTGTTTGAGAGGTAAACCATTGGAAGACACTTACCAGTGGTAGGCAGTTGTGCAATGATGCGGATGTTCTTAGAATCATTATCAAAAATATCACCAAGACTCTCAAATGGAGTCAACCTTCTTCCTCTGAGCTCTTGTATAATAGTATTTTCATTATTTATATTATGAGATTTACTTTCAAGTGTTTTCAGTTTAACGTTCTTCGTATTGTCAGGAATATCTACCTTCCATAGATGCAAATCACTAGGATCAAAACCTTTGCCTTCAAAATTATTCTTTTTCTTGTCATAGATTATATTTTTGAGTTTTGAAATGCTCATTCCTGCCTGGTCTTCAACTTCGAAGACGCTCTCAATTTCAGTACCTATCACAAAACAAAATACCATGATACTGGTGTATATCTGTAAATATGAAAATTCGAGAGTTAAAACAAGATTTAAAACAGATGTTTTAGTAAATACAAATAAAGACCTTCTATCTAGACGACTATTTAAAGAGCCTTTCATTCCATTCATTTTGTATATAAATAATGGTTTTCTATTTACATAATCTCTTAGTGAATGTTTCGACAAAAATACTATGTGTACGAAAACTTATCAAGTTTATGCTAGCTCATGCATATTCTAGCTAAAAACAGGTTTTGTACGTTCTAAGCCTCAGATTACCGTATAGCACTGACATTAGTACCGGGTACTATTCAAGCAAATCTAAGCTTAATTTTGAATAGTACCTAGGGGTACTACATTCGGAGAAAGGTACTACATAAGAGGAATATTACACAACAGGAATACAATAAAAGGGAGATATTAATCATAATCATCAATCATCTTTTTTTACTTTCAAATTTTTAACATTCCTTTGAAATAAAGCCATAATATGTTATATGATATGAATGACACGAATTTCGCAAATGATGCAAATTTCGCAGATAACGCGATCAGAATTTTATTTATTTTAATTTTGGTCTTTTTTTTTGACTTTAAACCTTTTTTTTGGTTATTTTTTGTCCTTATAATCACAACATAAATTTGCCATTTCTTTACAACTTTGTCAACTTGAAAAAATATGCAACTATTGGTATTAGAAATTACGCCATTTGCATTTACTCAATTTTTTTTAGTTCTTTGACTTTGAGGTTTCGCTGCATTACAAAAATTTAGTAAATTGGTTATAGGACTGTAATGGAAATTTGATTTATTTATCGCATTGCAATGATTATAAGATATTTGATGCTGCTAACCAATTTTCCTATATATCATCATTCTTTTGAAGTTCAAATTTATTTTTTATAATTACTTTTTTATATTATCACCATAAGGTTAAACACCTTTTTACATAGTGTAATATTTTATTCTTCTTTTGGAGAAGAGAGAATGATGTAAATTTTCCAATGTTACTTGTGTGTTCATATAAATGAATCAAACCATTTCAAGCAGTACCCTTTCCGCAAATTTAGAAATTTTTTTATCTTTATTTTCGAACATTTACTATTTATTAAACTAGAATGAAACTTTAAATTAACTTTAAGCAGCGATTTTCAAAATTAAAAATTTTTGGTCAAAAATTATTGGTTATGATTAAACAAATAGATATAGCGATAGATAATTTTGATTGACAAAATAATTCAATTTATTGAAATATGATATGATATTTATACAGGTAATATAAAGGTCAGAAGTGACACGAGTAAAATTTTATTAAAATAAATACAATGGATCAAATTTTTTATTTATTTATTTGTTTTTTTAAAGAAAAAAAGTTATGATAATAATAATGCGACAAATAGATTTAGTTATTAAAAAATTAAAAAATTTCTGTGGATCATAAATTAAACTTATAAAATTAAACTTTAAAATTTAACGCACTCAAGTATTTCTTTAACTTCCAATTTATATTGACAATCAGAATTAATCTAAATTAAATAATATTAATAAAAATTTTTGTCAAATTCTTATTAAAGAAAATATATTTACTGTACCTTACAGTCTTGCTTAATATTTTTCCATTTGAATTCACACTGTTTAGGAAGATATAGATTTTCATTATCGGATACCACAATTGATGCACTCATCCAGAGCTCTTTTTTAATATTTCCACTCCCACTACGTTTTTCTACTAGTTCTTTTAGAACTTGTTTATTTTCGTTCAAAAAAGAAAGTAATAATTTAATGCTTTTTTGTGTCCATTTTAAACGAGCTCTTTTTTCATTAGGAGGATTCACATTAGCGCTTGATTCAAACAAACTCATAATGGTGTTTGATCCTTCCGTAGTCAAAGCTTAAAGGAAAAAAATTATCAAAAGTAGAAGCGTATTAGTTTTGATTTTAATCAATAGCTTCAATAACCTGTTCATTTTTGTTGGTCAAAATATTTGTTGAGTTTTGATTGGTTATTTTGCCCTGCAGTCCCGCTAACTAAATGCAGTCGTCAATGATTAATTTAGCCAATCAGAAAATTTAAGATTTCGAATTCAATCGTTCCTGAAATTTCATTAGCTGATATGTTTGAGAAAACTGAAACAGGAACATCACGGAAAAGAAATAATAGGATTAATATCCGAACATCCTTGATTATTACCTTGAACATATTCCTCGCCAATTGGGAATCCATATGCTAGCTTAAAGAAAAAGGCGTTCGTATATGAGCCAATTTCTTCATAAATACAATTATCAATATTGTTACTTTCTTGATAATTAGTTAAATATTCAGGCAAATAAATGGGATATGCCTGATAATGTGGAATTGCTTGTGTTTGAATAAAATGTTGATACAAAAAATTAGGTTCATAAGGTGTACGGTTAAATGTTACGGGAGTTGCATACCGTATTCTTCCGATTTTAAGCACCACCCAATTTTAAGCACCACCCAAACTTTTGGAAAAAAATCTTAAAAAACA